TCATTGACAGGTAGTAGAGTGCCCTCTTGATACCTGGTACTGTATTGAATACTTGAAAAGAAATAACATTCAGAAGATGATCCCAAAATAGAATTCCTTTTGTACTGAGTTTGAGCTAAGGCATTGGTTTTCAAATTTGTGAGAGAAAGAAGAATACCAGGAAGTCATGATGCTCTTGATAAATGTATCATGTGAATGGTGATGTAGCACCTAAATTTTTGTGCAATCAGTATGTCAGGTTTGTGTTTTACTATACATATCGGTGACCTGACCAATAGTGGCTTAAATGATAAGGGCTTTATTTATTTATGTGTTTGTTTATTTCCTATAACAGTGAGTCTGAATGGGTGATATCCAGGATAGACATGATGATTCTATAATTTTTCTCTGCTTTCCATACTCTTGCTCTGTCCTTCTGGTCTACCAGCTTTAGCCTATAGCTGTCATCTTTGTGCATGTGAGACAGCCACTACAACCTTAGGCAAGAGTTTTACTCTCCAGGCAGGACAGAGAGTGGAAGAATGAAGGAGGAAGGGACAGTGCTTATGTATGAACTGTGGTACATTGCAGGGGGGTCTGGGAAATACAGATTATTTAGCTGAGCACCTTCCTTCCCTGAATAAAACTGGGGTTCTCTTACGAAGTAAGAATAGATCCAGGATAGGCAATTAGCTGTGACTGCCACAGTAATAAAACAATTTAAAATGTACATTCATGAGCTTGTGTTCTCATAAAACACTTGGAATTTTCCTGTAATATTCTTTACTTATTTGTGGAACATTAGTTTTGTTGATAACTAGCAAGGAAGTAATCTCAGATATTGAAGGTTTAAGAAATATGTGACAAAAACTCTTAAAATGGAAAATTCTTTCCATTGACTTTTTTCCCTTGCAAATGAGAAAATGAAATTCTTATTTGATTTTAATGAAGGTACACTCTAGGCCATCAGTTTTCATAAGGAGCATGGTTAGGAACCACTGATAATTAATATTTATGTATACTATTTATCTACTTGTGTCTCTACTTTCACTTAAATTATTTTTCTAGATAAGAATATTCTCTTTCAGTATTATATGTTGTGGGCAATTAAAACATTCTTTACTTTTAATTATTTTTATTTTTTTTTAAAGATTTTATTTGGGAGGAAGAACGTGCGTCCGCACCTGTACATGAGTGGGGGTGGGGGAGAGGAACAGAGGGAGAGGGAGAAGTAGACTTTCCACTGAGCATAGAGCCCCATGTGGGGCTTGATCCCAGGACCCCAAGATCATGACCTGAGCTGAAGAGAGAACTTAACCGACTGAGCCACCCAGGTGCCCCTAAAATATTCTTTACTTTTAAATGTTTCTAAATTCTGGGGCGCCTGGGTGGCTCAGTTGGTTGGGCGACTGCCTTCGGCTCAGGTCATGATCCTGGAGTCCCAGGATCGAGTCCCACGTCGGGCTCCCTGCAAGTCTGCTTCTCCCTCTGAACCTCTTCCGTCTCATGCTCTCTATCTCTCATTCTCTCTCAAATAAATAAGTAAAATCTTAAAAAAAAAAATAAATGTTTCTAAATTCTGTATAGTGATCCTATATTAGTTTTTTTAATCCTCTATCAGTTTTATAATCAGCCAAAAAGTCTTACTAATTTTTCCAAGTCAGTGTAAGTCTTGCCATCTTTGATACTGCATCCTCTGCTTCAAATCCATTTTTATCTCCTACTTCTTGAAATTCCTAGAGCAATCATAGCCTGTACAACAGCATTTTCTCCTTATAGATTATATTGAATTCATCACTAATTGTTCCATATGTTAGCAAGATCATAGGCTCCCTGTTATATATTTTTCTGTGTGTCCCAATTTCTTAGCATAGAATTAGATATATAGTAGATACTTGTTTCCTGATCAACTAAATAATCACATTTAACACATTAATACACATGAAAATAGCATGAATTTAATAATAGGATAGGCATAAAATAAAACATGACTAATAACCAGTGTAATCAGAATTTCATGACTTTTACCCGTATCTATTAATGTAGGACCTCTAGCTCCCCCAAATTGCCCCCACCCAAGTTTATTCTTGGAGTCACCAAAGGGTGTTTCATGTGGGCTCACTAATGTATTCTGGCCACTGCCACATAGCACGTCTTTTTCTTCCTGCCATGTTGCAGCCCCTCGATAACAGGTGTATCTCTGTGCCCGATTATCTCCTTGGCCTTGTGCTGTCCTGCCAGGTGTAATGCTGATGCTGGGGCTGTTGAGGTATCCCAGCCTCTTTTCTCCCCCGCTATTATATATTGTTGTGTGGACATCAAAAAGAGCTCTTTAATCTTGTTGCTTCAAAGCTTTCAGTGAAAGCTGTTATTTAGTTTCTCACTGTAGCTCTTCTGTTATGATGAGCTCTTGGGGCTGGGCTGGGGGAGCAGTCCAAGTGATAGACACCAACCTGTGCATGTGACCACTCCTCCTGTTCAAGCTTTGTTTATTGTACCAAGCTTTTCTGCCTCTCTTTAGTAAGGATGATTATTGTCCCAAAATGTTTCTTAGTCTGACCTCATGCAGACAGATGCTTTGAACAACTCTCAGTCTCCAGAGATGTGTGAATCTTGGTGGCAGGGATGTTTTAGGTTCTAGACTGCAGTCCCGTTGTACTTTAAAAATACAATAGGTAAGGGCGCCTGGGTGGCTCAGTCGGTTAAGTGACTGCCTTCGGCTCAGGTCATGATCCTGGAGTCCCGGGATCGAGTCCCGCGTCGGGCTCCCTGCTTGGCGGGGAGTCTGCTTCTCCCTCTGACCCTCGCCCCTCTCATGTGCGTGCTCTCTCTCTCTGTCATTCTCAGTCTCTCAAAATAAATAAATAAATCTTTAAAAAAAATACAATAGGTAAAACATACCTCAAAGAATCTCAAGCCCAAGTCATAAGTCAGAGCAACTCAGAGCATGATCTTGGCCCACAAATAGAATTAAAACTTTACTTATTCTTGTTTTATATGTCTGATTGTATTGGAACCCAGTGTGAACTTTAAGCCTACAAAGAAAAGGAGGAGAAATGCACTAAATTTTATTTCTTGAATTGTACATTTGTTTTTATTTCTATGACCCCTAAAATTGGCTAAGCCTGTGGTTGAACGAAGATATTATGCACTCTTATTCTCTTCTCCAGAGCAGTTCTTTTTTAATATTTAGTTAATCTTCCTTGAGTTTTAAGATGTGCATACATTAGACAGTAATTGGAACTGGACCTTGTGCAAGTTCCTAGTAGGAATGTGGGTAGATAGAAAAAAAAAAGGAAACTCCACACTTAGGATTGAGCCTCAAGTGCTAATGCAACTTGTCAAGGGCGAGAAGATGAGTAAGCAAAAATTGGGAGATGTGGGGATCCAAGAGCATAGAGCCTCCATAGCCAAATGGCCAAGGTGAAAGGAATTAAAAGATGATCATCTATGCCTGAAATAGCTGGAAACAGAACAACAAAATAACTCTAATAGTTTCCTGTTAAGTTTCAGCTCATGTCTTTTTTTTTTTTTTTAAACACCTGAGTTTCATTTAAGGAAAAGAAAAATTTTGTAACCTATAGTTACATAGATGTATATACTTCACCCAGTGCAGTGCTTGGTTGAGAGTGGTTATTCAGATAAATACTGTTGACTCAGCTCACTGGGTATTTAGGTACTTGACTACCGGTTCCTTGGAGGGTCAGCTAGGAGGAGTAGGAGACCCAAGACACCACTGTAGAGCAGTGAGAACAGGTAGGGCAGAGAGAGGCAAAGAAATGTCACCAAGACAGATGTCACTAGATACAGAACCTTATTGACTCAGTCCAGTCGGTCCTGCTTTGAAATCTGGAACTAGAAAACAACCAGGGATGGGAGGTTGCTGGAGAAATATTCCTTGAGATCTGTTTGCCCTGAGATCTGTTTGCCAAGGCCTCATCATGACCCGGGGCTGCAGGAGACCTTGTGCCCTTCCCAGAGTCCCTCAGCTACTGAGCGACAGAATCAGAAGCTAACTTAGGCCTTCCTGTTCCCATACTCATTTGTTCACCTCTACAATGGGCTGGGTTTTTTAAACAATCAATTTGTTCCTTGTTTGCTATTGTTGCTATCATTTTATTGTTTATTGTTTGTTGTTATATTTCTCATTCCCAATAGGGAGGATGTAAAAATTGCTTTATAGTGGTTTTCACTCAATTCTATGTGATTCTAGAAAGCTTAATTTGATAGCAAGACCAATGGTCTTGGAGCAGGAACGAAATGACCGCAGAATGATAGTATTGTTGATTGGCTCTGCCTCCTGTGGTAGAGTAGAATTAAATCAGTCATTTAAAAATTTTAAGAGTAAGATTTTTGATCTTTTTTATTCTGTGTACATTAATGCTCCATATATATCTATTGTATGAAATTCCAGTTTATAATTCTTTTGTAATTAAAATAGTTTGTCTAGAGTGAATTATGACCATCTGAAATTTATTTGGGTATCAAAAGAATTAAGATTTCTTTTAATTACTCTTATTTGTTCTCCTTAAAAGTAACTTAATCTCTAGAAAAATAATCTAAGGGAGTGCCTGGCTGGCTCATCCAGTAGAGCACATGACTCTTGATCTGGCGGTCATGAGTTCGAGCCACATGTTGGATATAGAGAATATTTTTTAAAAAATCTGTAAAAAAAAAAAAAAAAGATAACCTAAGATACTAAGACAATATAAGAAGACTGTCTTAAGCTCTTGGCAGGCCAAATAGAAAAATTCTGTAGATTTACCTTTGGGAATTCTGTGAAATCCTGAAATTTTGAGTTTTATTTTGGTTTGGGTTACTATTAGGCATACTATTATGCAAGATTCTCCTTGGGGAATTCTGAACATTTTGTGTCCTATGGGACTTGATTTTTGTATGTTATGTCTATTACGATACTTGTGAATGTGGTGATCAACACATTTTAAGGTGTTTTTTCTTTTATATATCTGCATTTGGGTACAAAAAGACATTTGAAACATTTTTTTCCCCTTCTTTTTCAGAATTAAATGTGAGGGAGTCTGATGTAAGAGTTTGTGATGAATTGTCATGTAAATATGGAGGAGTCTGTAAAGAAGATGGGGACAGTTTGAAATGTGCATGTCAATTTCAGGTGAGGAAACCAAACATTTTGAAAAATTTTTACATTTTTAATATTTTATCATTCTACATTCTTCAAATAAAAAGCTTAAAATACCTTGAACCCCAAAAGAAGTTGGCTTTAGAGCCCACTGATTTTTCTGTTGTCAGATGAAGTACTATTATTTGTACTTTCCATGCTTCTTTCCTTGAGTCAAGAGGACAGACTGGCAATAATAGGTATGAAGATGCTTTGAAAAAACGTTAAAGTTCTATTCAAATGTAAGTTCTAATTGTCCCTGAAAGGAAATGAATCTCTTATTTAAGATATTGAAATTTTGGGGCACCTGGGTGGCTCAGTCGGTTAAATGACTGCCTTCAGCTCAGGTCATGATCCCAGCATCCTAGGATCGAGCGCTGTATTGGGCTCCCTGCTCAATGGAGAACCTGCTTCTGCCTCTCCCTCTCCTGCTCCCTCTGCTTGTATGCTCTTTCTCTCTTTCTCTTTCTGTCAAATAAATAAATAAAATCTTTAAAAAAATGTTGACATTTTTGGGGGCACCTGGTTTGCTCAGTTGGTTGAGCGTCCGACTCTTGATTTCAGCTCAGGTCATGATCTCAGGGTCGTGGGATGGAGAGCCCCACGTCAGGCTCCACACATGCTCTGTGGGGAGTCTGCTTGAGATTTTCTCTCTCTCCCTCTGCCCCTCCCCCCCAGTTGGCTTTTTTTCCCCTTTTCTTCTCTTTGTAGTCTTTTTTCTGATCCATTAATTTTTTCTTTTTAAGTATAGTTGATCCACAATGTTACATTAGTTTCAGGTGTACAACATAGTGATTCAACTTCTTTATATGTTACACTCTTCCCTTCCATTTTTATTTGCTGGTGTCTCATCTTTTTAGGCCAAAGAACATGGCTGACTTGCTACCTCAGGAGTAGGTCAGGGTTAGAGATAAACTAGACAGGGGAACCTCAAACTATTATCTTTGCTTTTCAGATGCTCTTTTTTTTTTTTTAAAGATTTTATTTATTTATTTGAGAGAGAGAGAGAATGAGAGATAGAGAGCATGAGAGGGAAGAGGGTCAGAGGGAGAAGCAAGACTCCCCGCCGAGCAGGGAGTCCGATGCGGGACTCGATCCCGGGACTCCAGGATCATGACCCGAGCCGAAGGCAGTTGCCCAACCAACTGAGCCACCCAGGCGCCCCAGATGCTCTTTTAAGTTGTGATTCTGTTTCTTAAAAAAAAAACAAAAAAAAATAAAAAAGAAAAAGATGTGAAATGTGTTACATTCAATTTTTCTTTTTTATTTGCTGTGATTAAATTATAATCTGGCTTCAGAATATTGCTCAGGAGATGGTTTCTGATTCAGGATTTGAGATGAAACAAAGAAGAAACTAGAATTCTTTCCACTCATGATCTGATTCTAATTGTACCCACCATTTTGGATTTTAAGAGAAGGAAAGGGTACAGAGATTAGAGACAAAAGCATAGGACAATCAGTGTTTCTAGTAACCCTATAACCTCAGGAAGTTCCTGTATGATCCATCTGAAAAGAAAAGTCATGTTTCCTACCCTTTTTTATGATATTGTAATGAGAATCAAAATCAGCTTGCATATGAAATCTCTTTGAAAACTATAAAGTATCAGAGGAAGAGTAGGGAGTTATATTATTGTCCAGCTGGACAGGCTCTTTATAGTCAAGAGACTTTACAATCCACTATTTATTCACAATAGCCACCTTTGACATGGCTTTAGCTGACCTTGTGCCCACCCCTATATGGTTACTCATGCAATGAATGTTCTGGCTAGTGTGTTGTGTCTGGCTTCCCTGCCTGCACCCCAAATCGTCTTAAAAGGGATGGCAACTAAAGTGGGCTTCTTTCCTTAAAGATATTGGTGTACATAGTGTAACTAAGCCCTCATGGACTTTTACTTCTTTCTGTTCTTCACATTAGATAATTTTTTATGATCTTTCTTTAGGTTCCCTAATCCTTTCTTCTGTCCTCTCCATTCAGTCCATCCATGAGGTTTTTTTTTTTTTCAAAATTTTTTGCGGGGGAGGGGGTGGGAAGGGCAGGGGAAGAGGGAGAGATAGATAGAAAGAGAGAGAGAATCTTAAGCAGGCTCCACGCCCAGTGCGGAGCCCAATGCGGGGCTGGATCTTATGACCCTGAGATCATGACCTGAGCTGAAATCAAGAGCCAGATGCTTAACAGAGTGAGCCACCCAGGCACCTCTCAGATATTTTATTTCTAGACTTTATAATTTTGATTTCTTTTTTTTTATTTTAAGAATTTATTTATTTATTTTAGAGAAAGAGAATATGGCGGGAGGGCCAGAGGGAGAGGGAGAGCGAATCTCAAGCAGACTCCGTGCTGAGCATGGAGCCTGATGCAGGGCTCAATCTCACGACACTAAGATCATGACCTGAACTGAAACCAAGAGTCAGACGCTCAACCGACTGTGCCACCCAGGCACCCCTCTAGTTTTGATTTCTTGGCTGAGTTTTCCTGACTTTTTATTCATTACAAGCATATTTTCCTTGAGCATAGATACTATTGCTGCTTTAAAATCTTTGCTCATTTCAGCATCTGGGACATCTCAGGGATCATCTCTTTTGATTTTTCATTCGAGAATGGATTGTGTTTCTTTTTTCTTTGTATTAGAGTAATTTTGAATTTAATATACACATTGTGAGTAGGTTTTAGTGTTTGAATTCTGTTATGTTCTCCTGAAGAGTATTGTCACTTTTGAAACAGTTAAGTTGGCTGAACTCAAACTGCAGACTCTCTTCCCTGTTGTGGGAAACAACACAAATACTACTTCATTATTTTTAATCTTATCTGGAATACTTAGAGTCTGCCCCATGAGTGATTTGAGAGTCAGCCAGAAATTTGATCTGAATTTATATATGGAATCTGGGAGTCCCTTCTGACTCTCTCCTTTCTGGTTTTTTCTCTCTCTTTTTAGTGGCTCTGGTTGCCCTGAACTCTATCCTTTGGTGTTTAAGCCAGAAAGATTGTAGATTTCTTATTGGTGTTTTAGTCACCCCTGTATTGGGAAGACTGAAGCTGTTCCCTCTTCCAACTGTCTTAAATTTCTTTAGGTTAAATTCCTTGATGTGGAATTGTTGAGCAGTGGGATGCTCATGTGCAGATAACATTCTCACCAGTAGCACTATGTCTGACTGCTTGTTTTCCCTTGGCCTTTTGATGGTGGATTTTGTCAGTCCTTTTTAAATTTTGTAAATCTGTAAGGCAAAAAATTTTTTTTTAATTTTCATTTGATTATTAGAAGTTGAAAATGTGCCATATATTTATTGACCATTTTTTTGGTGAATCAATATTTCATATACTTTGCCCATTTTTGGGAGTATTTTCTTTTTACCTTGTGTTGATTTGTAGACATATTTATGTATGTACGAATGTGCATATACTATATACAGTACACTATTTGAGTACTTATATATTGCTTATGCTGAGCATTATATCCATTAACAGTTCTAAATATACATACATATGTGTGTATATTTGAGTATATATGTATGTATATATGTATGTATATTATGAGTTATGGAGCCTATAAAGTAGGCTAGAGAAAAGAAAATGCTATTAAGAAAATCATATAAAAGAGAAAATATATTTACAGTACTCTACTGTAAAAAATCCATGTATAAGTGGACCCACACAGTTTAAGCCTGTGTTGTTCAAGGGTCATACATATATAACTCTATAACTCACAAACTGTCATGAGAACCTGTGATGTAGGTACTGTTTTTATGTTTTTTAAAAGAGTAATATATGCCCATATTAAACAACTTGAACATTAAAAAGAAGATCTATAATGTAATGAAAAAATGTCTTCCTTTCACTCGAGACTACCAATTGCTCATCTCAGAGGCAACATCTGTTACTTGTATTTCCTTCTAGAAATATTGTGTGTTATATAAGTGTATGTGGTTGACCCTTGAACAACACAGGCTTAAACTGTGTGGGTCCACTTATACATGGATTTTTTACAGTACAGTACTGTAAATATATTTTCTCTTTTATATGATTTTCTTAATAGCATTTTCTTTTCCCTAGCCTACTTTATTGTAAAAATACAATACAAGTAACACACCAAATATGTGTTAATTGACTATGTTATTGATAAGGCTTCTTGTCAGCAGCAGGTTATTAGTAGTTAAGATTTGGGGGAGTCAAGTTATGCATGGATTTTTGACCGTGCAGGGGTTTGGCACCCCTAACTCCCATGTTTAAGGGTCGATCATAGGTGTTTTAATTTCTTTTTTAAGTACTAAATCACTCAGTAGTATTTACCTTAGAGAACGTTCCTTTTTAGTTTATAGATTATAAAAATGTTAAAATAGTCTAGCATCATTTTCATTTTGTTTATAATTTTTGACATAAAAAATTTTAAATTTTCATATCATATTTATCTATTTTTATCTTTGATTCTGCTTTTCATTAATTTTCCCTGCAACTCTAAGATTATAAAGAAATAGCCTTTTTGACCTTTTTAATGTATTTGGACAGCTAGAAAATCCTCTCATGATCTGTCAATCTCTTGCATTCTTACCTGGTGGCAAAGCAGGGAAGAGAAATAAAAGTTAGGGGTTGAGATCACTAGACATTTATCCAGTGTTTGCTTTGCGCTCAGTGCTAGATGCTGAGGATATAAAGATGTTTGAAGACAAGTTGCTTTCCCTATAGGAGCAAACTGCCTAAGGGCTTACGGCATGATTTGATCCTGCTGCTGAATGAACCTTCCTTTGACTACTCTGCCTTCTTATAATTTATAAATCTGTTCAAGTTAGACTTAGGTTATTGCCAGTTGAAGAAAATTCACCTCATAGGTCCATTAAACACTGCTACGCTGGACGCTTTAGCAGTATCTTTCAATTCATTTTAAAAACTTGCTTATGATTCAGCATGCTTTTAGTGTTAATATGAACTTTCTGGTATATAATTTAAACACATTTTAACAGATAATAACAGGAGTTTAGATAAAGTCTAAAATTGTTTTTTCAGTCTGCTAATAAGAGCTATTATATAAACAAAGCAACTTTTATACTGAGAAAAATGATCAAAATTGCATCTTTCCATTAAAACATGGGTTATAGGGGTAGTGCGGTCAGTTAAGCGTCTGACTCTTGGTTTCAGCTGAGGTCATTATCTCAGGGTCATGAGATTGAGCCTCGTGTTTTGCTCCGTACTCAGCGCGGAGTTTGCTTAAGACGCTCTCCCTCTCCTGCCGTTCCCGCTTGTGCTCTCTCTCTCTCTCTTTCTCTCAGATAAATAAATCTTTAAAAAAACCAAACCAAAACAAAACAAAAATCTTGGGTTATATACGAAGAGGAGGACCTATGACTTTTCCCTTATTTTCTTTCTTCCTCTTTGTTCTTTTCCCTGGAGTTCCCTGGATTATGTCTTTTTTCTGAATTTATCAGTGTCTCTTCTTGCTAGGTGTGATGCCCTCTTATAAAATCTTTGTATTAGGGTTCTCCAGAGAAATAGAACCAATAGGAAATTATTTATATTTATATACATATATATATATATAGAGAGAGAATATGAGGGGAAAAGGGAGAGTGTTTATAAGGGATTGGTTTGCTTGATTATGGAGGGTGAAAAGTCCCATGATCTGCTGTCTGCAACCTGGAGGTCCAGGAAAACTGGTAGTGTAGTTCCAGTCCAAATCTGAAGACCTTATAACCCAGAGAAAACTCATGTCCCAAATCAGGCAGGGAGAGCCATTCCCCTTTCCTCCACTTTTTTGTTCTACTTAGGCCCTCAGTGGATTGGATGATCCCACCAACACTGGGGAGAGCACTTACTCAGTCCATTGATTCAAATGGAAATTCATCCAGAAACAGCCTCATAGAATATCCAGAAATAATGTTGAATCTGGGGTCCAGTGTGGTTGGCACATAAAAACGGCCATCACAATCTTGTTATTTTCTTATTTATTGTATTCAGCATAGTTTCTGACACACAGTAGGTACACAATAAATGCTTGCATGGATGTGGCTCCAGAGTTGTACACTTTGCACCTTCCTAAACTATTTCGGATCACATTCTTCCAGGTAAATAGAAGGTATAGGGGAGATTTCTTTCCCCCAGCAAGGATGGCAGTATGGAGGCAGCAGACCTCAGGTAGAGCCAAGATCTTAGGTTAGAGTCAGTGCCCACGTCAGAAGTTGCATGTTGTTAAAATTGTCCAAATTCTTTCATGTGCCCATAGCATAGTGAGAGGCTCCTAAGAGAGACCCCTGGACACAGACTGACCGAGGAACAGTGGGTCTGCTTCTTCCATCTCATGCTCACTCCTAGGTATGGGCTCATTAGGTTGAATTTTGGGGACATAGCCTGCACTATTGTAAGCCCCCTGCTCACTACCACTGAGTGACACAGAGTAAAATCCTGCTGAATAACTAATGGGTAGTGGGTAGAGTATACACTTGTGAGAAATTGTAGGTTTCTTACTTATTAGCTATGACTCTGGGCAACTACTTAAGACTTAGAAATGATGAGAGCATAGCAAAACCAGCTAATATTTACTGAGAATTTAGTATGACCAGATATAAATGCTAAAGACAGATTTCTCTTATTTAGTCCTCATAGCAACTTTATTAGGTAGATGGCTATTATAATTACCATTTTACAGGTGGGGAAAATGGCGATGATACTAGTCCATAGTCACATGGATGGTGGTGGACTTGGAGATCATGTATTTCTTTGTGTTTCCTATAGTGTTCACCTTGGGACTTCACATTCTAGAGGTATTAAATAAATGAATTTTGATAATAATAAAATGACATTATATAACTAGTGCTTCTTAGCTTATTACAAACATTGCCAAGAATTTCCCTTTTACCTCACTGGATCTTTATAACAAGCAAATGAAGTAGGTAGCATGGGATTTCCATTTTCATTTTTATGGATAGTTGATAGTTATTTTCATTATTAATGTGAAAAGTGTGAGAAAGTGCTATAACTTTTTTTATTTTAATTTATTTTTTAAAAGATTTTATTTATTTATTTGACAGAGAAAGACACAGCGAGAGAGGGAACACAAGCAGGTGGAGTGGGAGAGGGAGAAGCAGGCTTCCCGCTGAGCAGGGAGCCTGATGCGGGTCTCGATCCAGGACCCTGGAATCATGACCTGAGCTAGCTGAAGACATATGCTTAACGACTGAGCCACCTAGGTGCTCCATAACTTTTTTTTTTTTAAACCAAATAAAAGAGCAAACTATTCTGTAGAAGTATGTCACAATACTATGGTATTACATTCATGAATATGAAGTAAACTATTAATATTCATGCCTAGTTTTGAGAATTTACTTTTGTTTCTTTTGCAGTGTCATACAAATTACATTCCTGTCTGTGGATCAAATGGGGACACTTATCAAAATGAATGCTTTCTCAGAAGGGCTGCTTGTAAGCACCAGAAAGAGATAACAGTAGTAGCAAGAGGACCATGCTACTCTGGTATGTGCGGTACTTTTCTGAATAAACATTAGAAATGATTCCACCGTGGTTTCTGAAATTTCCAGTCAGGAGTATATTCCCAGAACTGCTGTATGGATCAGTTGTGTGGGGGAGTGAGGGAGCTCTTCTTTTCTGCATTTCATGTTGTTGCTTTTTAACCCCAGATGGTCTAATACTGCATTACTTCTCGTATGTTGTTAACGCTTACGGTCATTTTTGTGGGAACTTTGCATATCTTTTTGCTTTATGGTGTAAATATTAGACAGAACAAGATTTGGCATGGGAAATGATATGGGATCTGTTTTGTTGATTTTTATTTTCTTGGCACAGGGAAGGGGTGGAGAATATCCATAGAAAGCCATTAGTGGCATCCCAGGATGTGTCTCTTTCCAAGCTTTTCTCTTTTTATATCTTCTGTCTTCTGTCTGCCAGTCCTTGTCACCTATCTTCCTCCAGTTTTTTGTATTTACTTCTCTTTTCCTTCCTGAATAGGTAGTGGTTAATTTTGAAAGGCACTGATTTAAGTTTCTTACTTGCATTTGTATTTGGGGGCAGGGATGCAGGTGAAGTGTTGTAATTAGAATTACTGTATGAAGATCAGCAGTAAAGGTGCAGACACTTTTTTTTTTTTAAGATTTTATTTATTTGACAGAGAGAGACACAGAGAGAAAGGGAACACAAGCAGGGGAGTGGGAGAGGGAGAAGCAGGCTCCCCGTGGAGCAGGGAGCCCAATGCGGGGCTTGATCCCAGGACCCTGAGGATCATGACCCGAGCCGAAGGCAGATGCTTAACGACTGAGCCACCCAGGCGCCCCAAGGTGTAGACACTTCTTATATGATACAGTGTATTTCTTTTCTTTCCTTCTATGTTACAGTGCCTGTGTTCAGAATTTTTACTGGGGCTCCATTACATAAGCATGAATGATCCATTGCCCATATGGTTGATCTCAAACTCCAGGTCCACTAATACCACATGACTGAAAGCCCCCACTCTAAATTACATGGTTGGTCCTTGTGGTGTGTCCAGCCTTCACCCTAGGACTGTTGAGTGTGGCCAACCCCACCTTAAGATCTGATATGGTCAGTACCCTCCCTAAATATTACACTTCTATCAGGTATGATATAGATTACCTTCCAGAAGCTGAGGGCAAAGACTGGACCTGTCTTTGGGGAGGGACAAATTCTTTTCCCTACACCAAATAATTAGGTGCTTGGTGAAATGATTGTGTTGTTAGGCCAATAGACTATCATTTTTGTGATTCTTGTACATTTCTCTAAGTACTTTGTATTTCACAGACTTGGTTTAGAAACTAAAAAAGAATATAGAACTCTTTATAATCCCAAATTAGAAGCAGGGTGTTAGATTGGAAAGAGCACTGCCCAGATTAAAAGACCGGATGTTAAGTCCAGCTCTTATTTACTATATGACCTTAGACAAGTCATATAGTAACTCACTTAGCCCCTCTGAACCCCAGTTACTTAAACTGTTAAATGGATATTATCTCTTGGGATTGTTAAATGAGGATTGAATCAGCTAAGCTGTGAGGTACTATATGGATCTTGTTAGTTGCTCGGTGGGCCAGTGTTGTTGATCTCATTTGGTCTTTTTATTGGTCCTGACCCCTGTGCTAGAGATAACATTCTCTTTTGTTTCCTTGAAAACTCCTTTCTTATGCTTTCAGGTTGAGCTTTAGCCTTTTATCCTCTGAAATTTTTCTTCCGTGGCATCTCCTGGCTGAGTTTGTTCACACTTTGTGCATGTCTCTCTGTATATATCCTACTGTATTTCATTTCTCTGACACATGTGTCTCCTGCTGGAGCAGTTGCTTTTCAACAGGAAAGCAGTATGCCCTGCCTGGGGAAGTGCATCATAGTCCCAGGGTTGGGGTGGAGTTGTGTGGACGGTGGAAGGCGTGTGTGCAATGAAAATATAATCTACAAGAAGAATGCAATCTCATTATCAAAGGCATCACAATATTTAGTTTTTTTTTAGAATTTTAAAGGACACTAAAGGAAGATATGATGTATTATATTTATTAAAATTGGACATGGCTTGAAAACAGGTTGGGAGTGAGTATCTCATGCACTGGGGCTTTCTTATTTATCAATTTATTCCTAGCATTTATCATGTTGCCTAGCACCTAATATGTACCCAGTTAATGTATGTAAAATAGAAGGAAAAAGGGAGTGTTTGCCTAAGAAAAGTTGGGTCATAAAACAATTTTAAATGGAGTTCCCTTCTTTCTTGTCTTTCTTCTGCTCTTTCACTCTTTCTTTTCCTTCTTACTTACTCAGATATAATTATTTATGACTGACTAATCAAAATTGAACACAATTTAAGACTATAAAATCCCATGAAGATTTTGCAGTGGATATTACAAAAAATATGTATTTTTCCAGTTCCTTCTGTTTCTACAATGTTTTGGGAATTCAATTATTGTCTGAAGGAGATTAAGGGGAAGAGAGTGATGAAGAACTGCAGTGGATTCCTGAGGATGTGGCTGCCCCCCCCCCCCCGCAAAAGTGCAGGATAAAGTGTGTCAAGTTCTTCACTTGCCATCTCTGCTTTTTTACTATACCATGGTGATGACACTAGCATTACCCTCTTTGTAACATGCTCTGCACCATATGTTGGCCTTTTTAGGATTTATGAAATAAATATTTCATATTAATTACATTTTAGGCTGACTTCTTGCTGGTAATATTGAGGAGGCTCTTTAATTTCATTAGTAATGAGTGTCTCACCTATACCTTGGTGAGAGTCCTTCTGGTTAGGTTTCCTAGAGGAAGCTAATTTTATCAGTAATATGAAAACCTCAGCTCTGAAGTTCTTTCCTTTTAAGCCTTGAGGCTTTTTCTTACCTTTTGGCTTTTGGCCTTTATCTACAGATTTCATTAAGATTTTTGGAGCAAGACCCAAAGCTCTTTTCCTCCCTTTCTAATAAAAGCAGCTTATTCATTATTCCTCTCAAGCTTTAACAAAATTGAAAATTTTTTTTTACCTTTTAAGTGAGTTAATTAAAATTATTTTTATATAGCCATTTACTTTACAGTATTTATTGGCCTTTACTCTGTACAAGGCACCTGCATATTTCCTGAATGGGCTACAAAAGATGTATGAGGTATAGATGATTGTGTGTCCAAGGACTTTCTATTTGGAGAAAGACATGGAATAGGTATATAAGAATAGTTTAGTCTAGTTCCATATCAAAAAAATAAGAAAAAGGCTACATGAGAATTGCTATCACAGTTTGATTTTTTAAAAAGATTATTTATTTGAGAGAGAGAGAGAGCCCAAACACTTGTGCAAGTGGGGGTTGGGGGGGGAGAGGCAGAGAGATAATCTTAAGCAGACTCCCTAATGAGCATGGCGCCCAGTGCAGGGCTCGATCTCACAACCGTGAGATCATGACCTGAGCTGAAACCAAGAGTCAGACGCTCAACTGACTGAGTCACCCAGGAGCCCCATCACAGTTTGATTTTTGATAGGAAAGTTTACCATTCGATAAGATGAAATTTCCAGCAAAAATATTTCTATTCACTATTTGTTTTTCTTCTCAGATAATGGCTCTGGATCTGGAGAAGGAGGTAAGTTTCAAGTACCACTTAAAGGACATTTGTTTTCTGTAATTTTTTGTTTTTAACAGCTTTATTGAGGTAAAATTCACATACTGTACAGTTTACTCATTTAAAGTGTACAATATGGTGGCTTTTGGTATAGTCATAGAGTTGTGCATTTATCACCACAGTCAACTTTAGAACATTTTCATTACTCCAGAAAAAGACTCTTAGACACCACTCCCAACCCTAGGCACTTTGTTTCATGCAGTTATTTTTCACTAAAGTTTTGTTGACACACAAAGTGGAAATGTTGTAGCTCCTGTTAAATTGAGATTGCATCAAAGTGCCTTCTCCTTGGGATCATCCCCACAAGTGATTTCGGGTTGGACCAGAATATTGGTAAATCTCTCATCCCTTGCTTACAAATTTTGCTCATGAGGAATTTTTAAGGTGCAGGGTTATAAAACTCTGGAGCGAGTTGTGCATGGCAAAGAGAAGGCTTGCAGAACAACTGTAGTGGAATCTATGTTTTAAATTTTATTTTACAGACATATAAATTACTTCTGTTTAAAAAAGTAATTTCTGGTAATAGCATTTAGTAAGAGTTTAATTGTCAGAATTAAGAATGACTAATTTATTTCAAGTCTAATGAAGCTGTACTTAGTGTCTACGGTATGCAAAGTAATGCTGGAGGTACTGTGGGGATCCACTCAAAGAAAACTTACTCCAGTAAAATTCACACTTAAATGAAAATTACAGTCATGATCCTTTCGATACTATCTGAAACCTTACTGCAGACTTCCACATTTCATAGATTCCTAAAATGTCAAGAGTTGGAAGGCACTTCAAAGGTCACTTTAGAGGATAGAAGAACCGTCTGGAGGAAGAAATTCAGGATGACAGTTTCAGGGGGAAAAAAAAAAAAAGATTAAAGCTATCCCACAATAGAATGTGATTTAAATGGACATGTTCAAGCAGAAGCTTCATGATCACGTGTGAAGGATTAGACCATCAATTCTAGACCTAGAGCTGAAAAGGGTTTTAAGAGGGATCATGTAGCCTAGTACCTGTAGTCAGATATTTGGTAAGGAAACGGTCATTGTTCTTATACTAAAGAACTGGAAGTTGATCTCAAGATTTGTGTATATAGTGTAAATACTGGATGTCTTGCTCTGACAGTTTCTTTTTAGGGAATATGAGTTTAGAAAGGCTAAGTGGTTTGCTCAGATTAGTACATAAACTTAAGTGAGCTCATGGTGGCTGTACCAAAGCCTCAGAAATACATAGGATTGTGATCCCCGGAATCTGGGAGTATTCATGAGAATTTGGGAAAAATTTCTACTTAAAGTGTAGACAGACACTACAAATGGAAAGTTTGGAAGTATTACCAAAGTATTACCAAACAGGTTTATGGACTTCTTCTTTTAATATCTTCTTTACTGATTGACACCCCTGAGTAAGGTGTTTTTTTCCAAACTAAAATGGGAGATCTCTTGAGTAAGCTGAATCCCTAAATTGGCCTCAGAACAGAGCTCCCTGCCCAGTTTGAGCTTATTAGGGTAGGATCCATCCTAGTTGAACCCCACAAATGTAGAAGCTCTTAAATGTGGGATAGGAGTTGGGGACTTAGAGGTATGAACTGGTTTTTTGTGCTGGATCATAGGAGACCCACACACTTCTGTATTCTAGGTATTTCTGGCTGTGCTAAGTTGCAAAGTAGAAAAAGAGGCAAGTCTTTTGTAAGGAGACCCTTTCCTTTCACAGATTTGGAGATAAATTATTTTTTTAAATTCTGGAATTAGTTGTTATGTAGTAAGAAAGGCAGGTATAAAACTGATGTGAAGAAGTGGTTATACTCTATCGCATTTAATCATTTATTTGCTGACCAGCATCACACAGGCTATTTCAGTAGGGTAATCACTGAACCAAATTTATCACCCATGTTTTATTTTCTCTTTCTTATTTAATGCTATGTGATAATTCTTATAAAGGCAATTAATTATCAAAACCTATATTGCACCTTTGTACATAGGTTAAGGGATTATTTTGCTTGCATCAATACTTGTTTTCCTTGTAGATTTTGTTGTACTCTGTATTGGCAACATTTTTGGGCACAAGCATTGATAGATTTTGGAAGTGATTGTTTTCAAGAGCTCAGGTACATTTTCCCTAGAAATAGGATAATGGCTGCTGAAAACGTGAAGCTTATCTGGAAAGGAACCCAACTTTTGGTTGAAAATTTAATTTTTCTTTTTAAACAGAAGAGGAAGGGTCAGGGGCAGAAGTTCACAGAAAACACTCCAAGTGTGGACCTTGCAAATATAAAGCTGAGTGTGATGAAGATGCAGAAAATGTTGGGTGAGTTGATTGAGGGAAAGGGATGCACTTACTTGGAGGATAATCATCAGCACTATTATGTTGTAGAGAAGTATCTTTTAACCTGGTTCTAGATATTTTGTGTGTGCCTTCTATATTTTTTTTTGTTTAATGCAGATCTATTAATTTTTGTCTTATGTTGATGTAATATCATAGCTATTTAAAGTGTATTTTAGAATGAGAATCCATGTATAATCTTTTTAGGTTTACCTCTGCCTTTATTTTTATTGACAGTTTTATATAGTTTATCCTAAGTGCTAATTTTATTCCTCAAAGTACTTCTATTCTTAATTCTCCTACCATTATACTTTATACTAGTCTATCAATAATTTTCTCTTTTTCTTAACTTGGATTTTTATGCAAAAACTTTTCATGTATTTCATTGTAAGAAAAATCCAAAACTGCTTCAAAATTTGAGATATAGTAATTATGTAATGAGTAAAATATTTTTAGCAATCCCATTTGCACAGACTGACATTATGCTGTTTTATTTTCTCATGTTCAGCTTTCAGTAAGGTGGGTTTTGTAGCTGGACAGCATTGTCTGTCCAATTTTCACACGGTATGTGATGGAATAGCAAGAATATTTACATCATCAACACAGTCATGTTTGTTCCTTCGGGTTTATTTATTCCCAATCTCAACCTTTCATTTCCCTGTAGTGTTTGCTTTTTGCATAGTTGATTCTAAAAGCTTTAATGCTGACTTCAGGACAGTATGGCACAAATGGATCTTCACTTTCCTATACTGCATAATTTTTTTTTAAAGATTTTATTTATTTATTTCAGAGAGAGAATGAGAGATAGAAAGCACGAGAGAGAAGAGGGTCAGAGGGAGAAGCAGACTCCCTGCTGAGCAGGAAGCCCGATGTGGGACTCGATCCCGGAACTCCAGGATCATGACCTGAGCCAAAGGCAGTCGCTTAACCAACTGAGCCACCCAGGCGCCCGCATATTTTTTTTTTAATATTTTATTTATTTATTTGACAGAGACACAGTGAGAGAGGGAACACAAGCAGGGGGAGTGGGAGAGGGAGAAGCAGGCTTCTTGCTGAGCAGGGAGCCCGACACGGGGATCGATCCCAGGACCCTGGGATCATGACCTGAGCCGAAGGCAGACGCTTAACGACTGAGCCACCCAGGTGCCCCATAGTGCATATTTTAAAACACTTGTTTTATAGAGATTTGCACTTTCTTCCTTACGCTTATTTTCACTGTGTGTTTTCTGGTCCCAGGTTTTATTCAGCCCTTAAATACATATTCAGGTCTTTCACTGAACAGTGGTAATATGGTTTAATTAGCATTAATGCCCATAGGGAGCTTTACAAATCAGAATTGCACCATTTTCAGGATTATGTTTCAAAATCAGCTATTTGGGTGGTACATGGTAAAATTAATGTCATAATTTACTTGGTATATATTTTAAAGTTGGTGAGAATTGGCACAAGACAAGTTTAGTAAAAAGTGAATTTAGCAAAACTTCAGTTTGCTCTCTTTCTCCATGTTGATCACTTGGATTGATGTGTGTCCATCCATTTCAGTCAGAGTGATTTGATTGGGAAGTACATGTTTTCCAAAGTAGAGATGGGTCTGCAGAACAGGAAAGAAATGATGAGCGATACGGACTTGCAGAGAGAACAGATAATAGATGTTATGTTCTCTTCTTCTTGCTTTGTGCTAAAGGTATGGCATGATGAAGTACTGGTGTGTGTGTATGCGTGTGTGTGTATTTTTGTAGAGATTTAGTTCTTTTTAGTGTTTTGCCTCAGGACTGTCCTATAAAGGTGTTCAGAGTCAAAATAGTTGTCAGTGATTGATTGGCTTGGTCTGTTGCTCTGTTTTTATTCCTTTCATGGTACCTCTCTCCAGTCCTGTTTTAGACATTTCTCTGCTCTCATTTTTTATCCCTTAATTAAAAGAGATAGAGATCTTTTGCTTAGAAGTAGAACAGATTCCATCTAGTCTCAGAGGCAGCCCCACATATGACATCTGTATGGTAAAATATACATCTTTCTATGAACACCACCTCATGATATAATGTGTACCCTCTGCCCAGTCAGAGTAACTCCCTTGTAGGTACTAAATTCATTTTGTGCATCTATTTGAGAGCTTGCAGCCACCATTTTTGCAGATACAGGCTTTAAGCTTAAGAAGTGGGCACAGACCAGGGAAGAGCTTACCAGTAGAAAGGAGCATGCAGGCTGAGGAGCCAGCCGGGGAGCACATAGACTGGGAAAGGCAGCCAAGTCCAGGCCAGGAAATTGGTGCAATAATGGGAGAACATTGAGGAAGCATTTGGTACCTTTACCTAAAGGTAAGCGATTAAGCTAAAATGGCTTATCCTACTGTGGAAGGAGATAGAAAGAAATTTTAGGAACATTAATCTTTTAGTGTATAAAACACTTATTACTGATTGTAGTTGAGTTTAACAATTAGCCACACCTCAATGGTTATTGTAATTTTTTTTTTAAACTTTTAAATGGGCCATGGTACCAAGAAGTTATACGGAGGTTATTTAACTCCTTCAGCCCACCTTCTGTGTGCTTTTCATGATTACTTCCAGGTGAATAGTGGCATGTTTGCGTAAGGGTAATTCTGACTCAGCCAACTAGACCTTTTCAGTATGGAAAATTGAGAGATGCCCATAAGTGGCAATAGACACCAAGCCTTGATTTTTATATAAAAACCCATTATTTATTAGGACAATGTTATATAATTTTTTTATTAAAAGATAAAACTATAGTTATTAAATACAAAAGGTCTTAGTTATAAAACAAGTACTCATGTCATGGCTTAATTATTATAAACTCTACCAGAATCAGAAAATTTTAAGGTTGCGTAGGATCTTAAAATTTATCTTCTAGCCTAGTCCTCTCACTTTACAGATGAGAAAATTAAGGATTAAAGTCAGAGGGTTTTATGGGGCAGATTCTCCTAAATTCCATTAGGGTGTTTTCTCTGATATTAGCCTTTTTGATTCCTAGAAAGAATGCTGTTATCCTTTTCCTACTTCAAGGACTGCTGCTTGATGACTTTTTAAAAAACACTGCCCTGGGTGCCTGGGTGGCTCAGTTGGTTGGGCGACTGCCTTCGGCTCAGGTCATGATCCTGGAGTCCCGGGATCGAGTCCCGCGTCGGGCTCCCTGCTCGGCGGGGAGTCTGCTTCTCCCTCTGACCCTCCCCCCTCTCATGTTCTCTCTCTCTCTCATTCTCTCTCTCAAATAAATAAATAAATAAAATCTTAAAAAAAAATAAAAATAAAAAACACTGCCTTCTTCCACGTGGTCCCAGCTGAGATTTCTTTACTTTCCTTATATTCTTCTGGTCACTCTGAGTACTAGCTGCTTTTAAACTCCTTGTTTTTACACCTTAGCTGTCATCTAGAAGGTCACATGCCTATCTATCTGTTATGTATCAGTGACTTTTAGACGTTTTTAACTACAACTCCATGTAAGAAATAGATTTACACTGTGACATAGAATTCACATTTCAAAATTCTATGAAATAATACTTACCTTTATTAAATGTGAGGTACTCTAATACTTTCTGATTTCCTTAAAAAATGCCAGAATTATGACCTATAGTTTGAAAAATATTCCTCAATAATATAACTAATCAATATTATATTTCATGTTATATTTTTAGGTATGGGTATTCATTTTAAAAAATATTTTATTTTTTCTCAGTTTGAAATGTCTTTTCTGTTAGAAGAAATGCTTATACCCTATCTGATTTCCCAAGGGCAGCTGAAATCTTTGTCTTGCTTTAAAGCTCTTTGTCTTACTACCAGTTTAGAAAAAAAAAACAACACACCCTGGCATTTTGGGGGAGGGAATCAGGGGTATCATGTAACTTAATTCTTTGCTATTAAGAGAAGTGCTAATTTTTTATTTAGCCATTTAAATGGATATTTATTTAAATAGGTTGTCTTAGTGTTACATATTGTATAGTGTATTGTATTTTTCAGCTATTGTTACATAAATTGTTTTTTCAGCTCTTTATGGAAGTTCTGTCTGGTGGCAAGAAGTATTATCCTGATTTTACAGGTGAAGCTGGGCTCAGAAGAGGCTGAATGGCTTGCAGTTACCCAGAACACAGGTCCACTGACAAGGGATTTATCCATTGTGTTGTGCACACACATGTGTAATACCCTGGTGTTCTCTTCTCAGTGGTGGTTGTTTTGTCCCTAAGCTTAAGGCTGCATTCTGCTTTGTGTTTTGGGTTCTTCAAAAATAATTTTTCTTCTCACATCTCAGGCTCTTAGCTGCTGCTTCTGGGTGCTGTGTCAAGGTGCCTTGACAATGAACCTGAGTGTAGATGACCCCAGCTTTTAAATTTGCTTCTCTTCTTTCCCAGAATAGGAGATAATATACCTGTAGGAACTGTATCTAATGTAGGAATAAATTCTAAATGTAAAATCAGAGTAAATAGGTTCTTCTGAGTGAAGTGTATGAACTTTATTACATGTATTTTCTCTCTTGTCTGCTCAATGGCTAATTTATTTATAATTTAAATTAGTTTTAGCTTCTGAAAGGCTTTTTTCCCCCCGTCCTTTCTGAAGCACATTGTGCCTCTCCAGTGATACTCTGGTGTTCACATGGATTAGTGATAGCTATCTTCATTGATGCTTACCTTTTGAATTTAAACCTAGAGTTAGGTAGTGAGGTTGCAAGAAATTTGACTCCCACCTAAGTGAGGTTTCAGTATTCCATTGTGACCGTTATGAAGTATAGTGGATGGACTTTCTGCTTAGTCTTTTTTTGGTGTGGGGGGGGTGTTTAACAAAAGTTTATTTCTCATTCCCATAAAGTCTGTCACAGTTCTGTGGAACTCTCCAAAAGAGCTACTGTCCATGTAGGGGGCTCAGCATTCCACTTTGAGTTCCTGGCCCCTGTTTCTGTACGGGCTCCTAGGATGGAGGCGGGAAGAGCCCTAGAGTCTTGCACCAACAAATAAAGGCTTCAGCCCAGATCTGCTTAGTCTT